CTGCTTTTACTATTGATACTCCTGTCACTATTTCTGCTACTATTAATACAGCTGTTACTACTACTGCTCCTACTGTTTCTGCAGCTGCTAATCCTGTCACTACTGCTACATCCTCCATCTTGCTGTTACTCTGCGGCGTCTGGGGGTGACCTGTGAGCAGCCAGAGAGTGGCGCTGCAGGATCAGCGCTGGTCATGCCCCTGGGACGGTGCCACGCTGCCAGGAATGGGCACATGATTCATTACAATCACAAGACCCAGAAACGAGGGGGGGGAGGGCTGAGAGCCCCAACTTCCTGTTGACAGGAGCTGCTCTTCCAGCTGTGTGACGCAGCCCCTCTGCACCTCGCCACCCACCCGCCTACCTCCCTCTCGTTTGGCTGATTTACTTGTACCCATGCACGGCTGCCCGCCTGCTCACGTGCCCACCCGATCCCACTCGGATGGCAGGACGCGGATGTCAGCTCAGCGACGGAGCAGCAGGAAAACCCGGATCCATGGACCGGACACGGGAAGGACTGGATTGAACCTGGGGAGGGATGCGGAAACAGCCAGGAAGAGAGGCTGGCACAGCCGGCACAGCTGGATGAAGACAGATGAGCACAGGATTCTGGGAAGGGGACCGACACAGACTTGAGGAGGAAGAGGATGATGAAGATGAGAAACAGTTTCACTGGAAAAAACCGATGCTTAAATCTCACAGCACATCTCAGTTGACTGTGCGTTGTGGGGTGTGTAAGTGTGTCAGGCTGCTTTTTTTTAATCGATTGATGCTGAGGGTTTTTTTTGGGCACAGGATGTTGTTGTGTTGTCAAGGAGATGGACACAACAACCCCCCCCCCCCACCCCCACCCACCAACTGCCTCGGTATGAATCAGGTCATCTGGTAATCTGGCTCTTCCAGGTTACTGCCCAGAGTGTGATTTCCAATATCTCTGTCTGTAACAGAGACACAGATCACAGTGAGACTGGGGCTCCTTTAAAGGTTCCTGATCCCATCCCATTGATAATGGAATGATTGGTTTGATTAAACCAAAAAAGTCATCAATGCTCAAATCACTCCTCTTTTGTGTGGTAGAAACTATTATAAAGTGCCTGGCAAAGAGTGTGTGTGTGTGTGGAGTAGGTCTGTGTGCAGTGTGTGTGTGTGGGGTGGGTCTGTGAGCAGTGTGTGTCCAGCAGTCCTGACTCTCTCTCTCTGTGAGTCAGAGGGGAGAGAGAGAGAGAGAGGGGGAAGTGTCAGATCAGAGGGGATCTGCAGTCAGCTATTTGAACGACTGACGCCAGGCTGCTCTCCCAGTCGCCGCCCTGTACTTGCTGGACAACAGCCGTGTCTTCTGTCCTCCGCGCAGGTGAGGGATCGGGGCTGGTCCGTGGCTCTGTCGGGGCGAGGTCTGGGTGGTCTGGATGGGCATCGAGCAGCTGACGCGTGAGGCTGACTTTCCCAGCTCTGTGTGCTTCGTGCCGAAGCCCTGCTGACTTATTTCTTGCTGCTTCCTGTCATCCAGCCCATTTTCAAAAGAAAGACGAAACCACAGGCTCTGAACCCGGAGTTGAGAGAGACGTTTCCCCCTCTCCCTGCGCGGGGCTGTCCGGGCTGGGCCGACAGCGATGGAAGGGAGCTCGCGGGGTGATCGTGCTGGGGCGCCCACGCTCTGGGGTTTCTGGGGCCTTGCGGGGGCGTCGAAGCTGCGCGATGTTAAGCGTTCGCGAGCCGCTGGGAGGAAGTTTGTCTTCAGATCACAGCGAGAAGGGGGGGGGGGGCAGGTTTGAAGCCTGTGTCCTCAGCTGGGGGGGTCGTCTCTCTCTCTCTCGTGATGTTTCAGAGGCTGCAGCTCTGCCTCAGAGCTACAGAAGGACAAAGGACTGTTTATTCCCTTAGCTGTGGGATGAGCTGTTCTCTTCCTCTCAGTCTGCCTCTCTGTCCCTCACCCTCTCTCCTTAACTCCCTCTATGTCCCTCACTCTGTCTCCTTAACTCCCCCTCTCTGTCCCTCACTCTCTCT